ATGGATGGATGGATAGGTCAATGGATGGATGGATGGATGGATGGATGGATGGGCCAATGGATGATTGGGCCAATGGATGGATGGATGGATAGGTCAATGGATGGATGGATGGATGGATGGATGGATGGGCCAATGGATGGATGGATGGATGGATGGGCCAATGGAAGGATGGATGGATGTGTCAATGGATGGATGGATGGATGGATGGATGGATGGATGGATGGATGGAACATTAATTAATAAGCAGATGTTATGACAAATAAATGGATAAAGTAATGGATGGAAAGACAAATGGTTGGACGATAAACAGAGTTCAGACATAAACATCTTAGCTACAAACAAAACTTCTAAAGATCAAATTTAAAGTAAAAGTTTGTTTCCTGTTTTTTTTCTTTTGCCAAACTGCATACTCTGGACATACCAATGAACTACACTTTAAAAACCTTGTTTGTCTGACAAAGTTCCATATCTTAGACACAATTCTAAGAAAAAAAAAAACCACCAAATAAAACTCCCCTGAAAGTATTGAGATACTGGAGGAAAAATGTGTGAAAAAGTATTTGACTCTAAATCATCAGAAAGACAGAGGAGTTACTTTTAAAGATAAATGTGGCTGCTGGGAAGAAAAGCAACAAGCTTTGTAGAAATGTATCGCAGAGCTGCTTTAACGTTCAAGCTCTGGTAAGTTTCAGAATATCACACATTTTTCTCACACATTTCTATCAGTTGAGTGTCTGAGAAGGATGCATTAACAGAACTGAATAACTCTGTAATGACCCCAGGGTAGAACTTGAGGCAAGCCATGACGCACAACAGACTATGCAACAACTAAAAAAAAAATCAGTTTCTGAACTACATGGTGAATTCCCCATCCCACACAGACAAAGAAGCTGACTTGTTTAGTTTAGCTTGTTTTCCACTGCCTGACATGAATTTGGCTGAAATTGTGAAGCAGCCTCATTGATCAGCTTCAACACGTCTGATAACGTGCGGCTCTTCTAACACAAGGTCAGCAAGTAATCTCCGGAGCTGGTCTGTATTTTACAGACACTTGTGCCTATGAACCCCTTCAGCTAATGTGAAACATTTGGAGGCAGGTGGTAGAAACACGTTGGGATTTTTCGTATGACACTTTTGCCAGGTTCACAAATGGCCTTATGTATTAAAAACGGACCTCCTACTAGAACGTATGCCAAACCAAAGTAATACACAGATTCCTTATCATCACTGTTGATTTACATATCTTGCTAAAGTATAAAAATCTCCTGATCGGTTTTACTTTCATTTATTTTATATTGCTCTTATGTGGCAGTGCAACAGAAAGTGATGCATGGTTGTAAAGTGGGGAAAAGAGCTGCTTTTATATCCTCTCCACCTTAAGGGCTGGTTATACTCCTGCAGCAGTGTGTTGCAGTTAGCTTGTCGCAGGTATGACGCAAAAACATTTTTGATTTATGTTCAATATTGAAGCGTGGTCTGCGCTATCCAGATACAGCCGAGGAGGAGAGGAAGTGGGGGCAAGTTTGTCTGACAACGGAGGGACATGAGGGCCAAAAAGAGTGGGGATCCAGGTGGAAAATGGTCCCAGCGTTCTCACGCACCTCCCTTTTCTAGCTCATAAACTTCATGAGTCGTTTTCCACAATAGCGGTCATACAAACAAAACACAGCCAGTAAGGTACCAAACAGGAAATACGCATGAGTAGAGCAGATGTAGATTTGACCAATCAGAGGCCTGCAATGTGGGAGAGGAGCTGCAGAGTGTCTGCGGAAGGGACGGGGACGACTCCTATGCAGAGGACCTAGTTTCAAAGTATAAATCAGCCTTTAGTAGGAGCATTATTTAACAGTAAAGGAACCCAGTGAGACTCTGGAGGAGCTGCAGGGAGAATCCATCATGAGGACGTCTATTTCTGGAAATTCTCTGGACTGAAAAGAACAAAACAAAATTTTTGTCCCCTAAACGGAAAATGCCCCCTGAACACACCATCTCCACTGTCAAACATGGAGTTTTATAAAATTTCAAACTACTGTAGTTATCAATACGCAGGAAAATGTTCAATACTCGATTCTTAGATACCACAGTGATAGAACATGACAAATAACTAAAGGCATTTTTTTAAAATGAGAAATCATGTTTTTTAATATCAACATGGAAGATGTTTTCTCAACAGCATCATACATGATAGCTGAATAAATGTGCAAATTAATACAAAAAATATTATATATACCAAAATATAATAACAAGGCGGTTAAAGCATTATTCTTTCAATTGACCAAAAATTAGCAAAAAATATTTGTCTTAGTATCGATACCATGCCAAATTAGGGTTGTATTTGGATACAGCGTTTCACAATTCAAGTTTTTTGAATATTATTATTATCTTTTTAATCTTGAGGACTTGATTAAGTTAAATTGAGGGAAGAAATGGTGGAAAAAAACCTCAGTGGCTGCAGAATATTTAAAGTCTGGGGTGGGAACGTGACAATTGGATGCATTTTAATGCTTTAGAAGGGCTCATTTGAAAATGAAAGAAATTCTCTAAAACCACTCTGACCTCAGTTTGAGCCTGTTTGCAAAAAAAAAAAGAAAGATTTAACATAAACATTCAATCTCTTGATATGCAAAGTTGGTTTTAAATTTCAGATTTTATTAATAAAACCCCAACAAAAACATTGAGTTTTATGGTTTTAAGAAAGGCATAAAAGAATCTGGGCACCATATATAGATGAATTCCACATTCTTGAAGTTAACTTGACAAATATAGAGGGTTCTTCCTGCTGGAGCCAGCTCCTCAATCTGATTTCCATTTTATAGGAAATAGAAAGCGGAAGAAAACAGCAGTGGAGTTGTCTAACAACATTATCAGTCAAAGTGACTAAGTTATTATATATTTTGATGAGTCTGTAGAAGTCCACTGGTGATAACAAAGCAGACAGGGACTTTAAGATTAGTAGTTCCCCTGCTGTGACTCAATGGGCCAAAGATTGCTTCTGATTTCACTTTTAATTGATTACTTTCCCTTTCATTACCCGCAGCGAGGAAAGAAGCAGTGCTGTTTGATTTAGTTGAGCTGCAAACTTGTCCATCAAGAAGTATCAGCCATGCCTTTTCTTTTAGTGCTTTGTTGCTAAGAGAAATCTGCAGACACGTTATGATTATTTCAGAAGATAAGACATTTATTGAAGCCCTGGAGTCTGAATTACCTCCAGCATTTCTTTTTTTTTCACCTTTTTGGACAACATCTGCAGCCTTCTTAAGAGCAGCTCCACGCTGCAGCCCCCGCTTGCCCAAATGGCTCCAATATGCTCCACTCCCCTCCTTTTATGCACAAGGCTAAGCTCAGTTTCGCTCAACAAACCCAGCTGACAGAGGCAGGGGCAGCAACTTCTTCCTCTTAGAGATTGCTTCATGAAATGTGTTGTTTGACAAGCCTGGTCTGGTAGAAATGCCTCCACTAGTGTCTGACAAGTCAAAAAACTTCAGTAAACCTGAACAAAAACGTACTAATCCATAATTTAAAAGCTTTTTCTTGAATTTATGCAAATCTTTGCATTTCTTTTAATAAAGTTGTCTGATATTGGAGATGCAAGCAGCTCTTTTAAAACCCTAGATATGGAGAGGCTACCACAAACAGCACCACCAGGTAAGCAAAGATGCAGCCATGCCAAAACCTCCTCCCACTCATCAATCCATAAAGAAGAAAAAGTTTTATTAAGACTTTAAAAACACAGAATATGACAGATTTCTGTTTTAGAAATAAAATTAGGTTGTTCTAATTTCCTTTAAAGGACAGATCTTAGACCAAAGTAGCACAAAGTTTTTATAGAAATGGACCTTTAAGTGGGAAGCAGCTCCTACCTGTGAGATGGACATATTCAGGTAGACAAAGAGCCCAGTGGTGGACGCAATCTGCAAGACCACCACCACAATCACCACCATGGCCAACCACATTTTGGACGGTGCCTCCCGGCGCGTGGACCCACTCGGACCTCCCGTGGGAACCATCATGTAAGTTGTAGACTCGCTGCTTACGGATCTAAAGTAATCCTGGTTCTGCTGGTGGTGGTGCTGCTGCGCGCTTGGAGTGGCCATGGCTTTCCCGACGCATGAGGGGAGCATGAAGTCTGGAACAACAACAGCCTCCACGGAGAGTGGGAGAGTGAGTGGGAATCGGAGGAAAATGAGAAGTTAGTTTTCCATGCGTCCGCCAGCCAGTGGGTTCGTTCACACTGGAAGCGCAGCGCGGCGCGGCGCAGCAGAGGAGAGGCGCACAGAGAGCGACCGGCGGAGAGGGTTTAAAGTGTGGATGTGTCCATGTCTGCTCAGCTGCTGGATTGGAGGAGGCAGCTGGGCTGGTGGGCTGAAAACCGAGGGAGCTCTGAGCGGAGGGGCAGGCTTAACCTCTTCATCACCCTGGAGCTTTACAGGAATGCGCGCGGACACCTACACACACACACGCGCGCGCACACATTTTACTTTTGGTTTCAGTGAGATTCAAGGACTATAATGCCACTCTCTGCCTAAACACATCAATAACAGGAATAGTGTGATAGAAATCCGGTAACCTGCTATAATTACTAAAAATATTAAATTTAATTTATTTCTATATCGCCCTGTAAATAACCATAATAATTATTTATAGTGAAATTAAATTACATCCATCACTGCACTTTTATATCCTCCAAATTATTATCATTTTTTACCTTTATCTCCATATTGCAAAGCCAGCTCTATTTTTTCTATTTTACTCTTTTAATTTATTTATTTCTTTTATTTTCTTTCTTTTTTTGTGTGCAGCTTCCTTAAAAAAATCCTTCAGATTTAAAAAATGTTGCTATAAAGAATTTAAGACCCAAACAGTTCATTTTATTACAGGTTATAGATCAAGTGTCCCCTACCGCCAGAGGGCGCTGTTTTCTCTTGTCTTAAAAGACCATTGATGCAGTTCAAACATCAGACTTTAACATTACATCAATTTATCAAATATTACTTCAATTTCCAAAGATACAAAAAAGAGGACACCCCATTAAATGATCAGCTCTTTATTATTAATTGCAAGTCTTCTATTAAATGAGATCATTATTTATTAACAATTTGTCTTTTACACATAGGTTGGATTTGTTTGTTTACATAAATAAATACTATATGCAATTTGGAAATGAACAAATAGTAGGTTAAAGAACAAAGTAATAAACATTTGAGTGAATATTATACATTTAAACTGGGTCTGGTGTCTATATGTATAATAGTAAAGACAATAATTATATAATAATTAAAGATACCCTCCCAGTATCCAGTTTCACTCCCATTTGGTTGATATATGCAGGGATGTATTGTTTTCTGATATTATAAGGAAGTTCCCCACTTTCAGCTCTGAAGAGTTTCCACCGCATACAGCCTGCTTTGGTTCACCCCACAGCATCACCTGCACTTTGACTGTTTATTTTTTAATCCTCACCCAATCGTCTGTGGATGTTCTGCTATGTTTTTGGTCATTGTCGTGTTGCAGGGTCTAACTCTACTTCAGCTCCCATTTGTTTTACAGATGGCCTCATGTTTTGTCACAGGATCTTGTGTAATTGATGATAAGTAAGTTGTGGGCTCGCTAGCAAATCCTTCCCAAGCACAAGATTTCAAGCCAAGATTTTTTTTTTTCTACCTTCCAAATAGTTATGTTTCAAACTGATATGTACATTTAATATTTTTCTAGATATACTATTCTCCATTTCCTGTGTCTTACTTTTATCTGCTTTTTACACCTTTTTTAAGAGTGGAAGGTTTCCCTTCTGTCATATGTTCCATTATAGATAAACTTTAGTATTTTCCGATATTAACTGCATTTATTTTCTTGTCAGCAGTAGCAGACAGCTGCAGGCTTCTAATCACAATTAGAAGATATAAGATAGATTAAGGTATGTTCAGAGGATTGCCAGATTTCAACCTTTGTTTTTTTTTAACCAAATAAACCAAAGTTCCTGTGATTATATGTCCAAAGTTTAACACTTCCCCCCACATGTTATATGATATCAGAGTACAACATTTTGTTAAAGTAACTAAATATGATTAAGTAAATGCCAAAAGAGGTTGCGTTATTTTTTTCATGGTGTATTAACCCTGTCTTAGAGAGAAAAAAAATAAAGTGCACTGCGTCAAATAGGAAAAGAAAAACCTTTCACTATACTTAACCACCTTGAATGCAGAATGGTTAAGGGGTTACTTGGGTTTCTAAGCTTTATAAGCTTTCATGACAATATATAGAATGAAATATAGCTGTTTGAAGAATGTTCTCAGCACTCCAGAGAAACAAACTTTTCTGTTATAAAGGTCCAAAAAAGTGGAAAAGATGGAAAACAACAATGTGGTGCATCATTACCCCCGACCAGTAAGGTGTGAGGACTAGGAAAAACAGCCGATTCCACATAAGCAAATCTTGTAATGCTAAAGGTAAAAAGGCAAGTCTTAGGTCCTAATGTCACAAAATAAATGCAATTCTCCCAATAATAAAAAGGAAGTACGGTAGAGGTAAATTTCCTTAGATATTAGGCTCCTCCAGATAAAAATGAAGGGACTCTTCCCTGTATTTCAGAAGGGCCAGCCTGTCCAGCAGCTCCAATCCCATCTCTACCAGCTCCTTTGCCCCCGTCTTTGTTAAAAAGCTCTGATTCTGGTGTTGCATGCACATATTCGACACACACTGTTTCCCAGCTGTCTTTCATTATGGAAAATAAGAGAAAACGGAAACTAAAAATCCATCATGGTTCTGTCTGGTACAGACAATTTAAAAGGCATAACGTTTCATTATATTTGAAGAGATGAATGTTGTGGTTTCTAAATTCTTCTACCTCCTGATGAAGGTTCAAACAAATGAAACCTACAAGGTGAACCCCGCAGTGCAGGTACCGATTTAGCATCCTTTTGACAGTCTAATATCAATTATTTATAAGTAATTGTGGGGATAAAGTTAAGAGTTTGGGTGATTAATTGCTCCAACAGAAAATGTATTCAGTTACCCTCTTATTATTTGGTTTATTTTAACTATAAAGCTTTAGTTTGACTCATAAAAATGCTGACAATTCTAAACAATTATACCTGCAAAGGAGAGAGGTTTATTTCTGTATTCTGCCCTTTGTCTGTGAAAAAAAATAGGGTAATGTGATTTCAGTAAATAACACTTAAAAGCAGGAGATCCATTGTGCAGGTTTAATCAAATGTCACATTCAAGTCATATTTCAACAATTTTGTATTTGTTTCAAATAATAATACACTTGTTTAAACTACGCAATATTGGAGCTTTTTTTGCAACAAAGTGTTTCCCTAATTCCAGAAAATATTTCATTATAACAAAAGTAAATTGTTAAATTATTGTTTAACAGTATGGGTAACTAATTCAGGTAGGAAAAGTTTGACCCTGAGCCATTATGCATATTGGATTCTATTGAAAATACTTAATAAAAACAAAAAAACAAATGTGTATGTTACATACAATTTCAAATATCCTACCCTGTAAAACATGAAACAATTGTGTTAAAGTAACTAAATATGATTCAGTAAATGCCAAAAGCGTTTGCATTGTTTTTTTCAGTACATCAAATCATATTCCTACAAAGGGCTCTTTCACTTTTCCTATTCAGCCAGCACCGTGTTGGATGCATACCTTCCCCACAGCTGTACACATACATAATAACATATGGTCTGTCTTCACACATGCATCCACGGATCCAACACCACTTCTCAGCTATTGCTGTATATGATCTGTAAATCTTTTATCTCCTATTATCATGTCATTATTTATCCTTTATTATAACCCCACTAATATATATATTTATAAATAATCCATATCCTAACTTTCATGTATAATCATGGACAACGCTGTTTGAATTTTCTTAGGGCTAAATATGGTTTTCAACAGATTTTACCTCCATTAGTTTTACCAAACTGAAAAAACATGATCAACAAAAAATATTTATCTTGCTTCATTTTATGTACAAAAATGCTTGGTGCTTTTACCTTTATTTTCCCAATCACTGCGAACAATTTTTTTAGTTTTACTTAAATACTTTTCTCATAAAGGACTTTCACTTTTACCAAAGTACATTTTAGTCGAGGTATTTTTTTGACTTTTACGTTTTTCTCTGAAGGAACCTAAATGCACACAGCTTGCTTTAAAAACAGGACACTCTCCTGCTACCCTGTCCAATGAGCTTTCTGGTACATTAAAAAATAATTGGAGTTTTAATGTGTGAAAAACTTCTGAGCCTTTGGTACAAAATTACAAAATTCTGTTTATCCTATTTGTGATATTTGGTGACAAAAAGTGCCTCTAATTAAGTTTCAGTTTCATTTAAAACATACTCAGTTCTTTAGAGAACATTTAGATCATGGATAATGGGGGACAATTTATACAAATAAAATTGTTAACATAATTTCAAAAATCGATAAACCTACAGCATCAATATTAAGCTTTTTTAAAGAGTTTAATATTATTTTATCAGGAACGGTAATCAACTTTTAGATCAAAACTGTCCTATTGTTAAATGCCTTAAACATCGTTTAACCAACTTGAATCCAAGTATTCAATTTCGATTAACATAAAAGCAACAGCCTTATTTAAAGCTAATGAGAAAATCCCCACATTTTTTTTCAAATCATGGTCAAATCAACATTTGTTTTATCTCTCGGAAGTGTTGCTGCCATCTAAATCTCTCGCCTAAACACCAAACCACAGATGTAATAGAAATGACGCACCTTGAGAGTCAAGAGCATGATAATAAACGGGATGTCATGCTGGTTTTATGGTACTCCACCTCAAATATTGTCAGGTTTCTGCCCTCTGCACCGACACAGGGTTTTGCTGTCAGAGCTCGACTAATGCACCGATGCATCTGTGTTGCTGGATCCACCACTTATTTTTGGACTTCTGCCTCAGTTGCCTATTAAATCTACCGTACAAGACTCAACTCTGCCCCCTGATCTCTGCCTTTGGGTCCTCAAAAACCTCCACCCCACCGTGACAAATGTGTTATCTAGGTGTCAGTCAGGATGAGCGGTTCCACTTGGATTCAGTGTTAAATCTAGTGGCTTCCAAGTGGTGCAAAGAGAGTGAAAGCCTCTGGAATCAGATATGGCTGAGGTTAACTTTAGTAAATAGGTGAACTGTTCAGAACCTGACAATGGTTTGACAATGGTTTTAATGGGATCGCCTAGCGGGAAATTCTGGGCCCTATTTATCACCCATCTTGTTGGTTTTCCTGTTTTTAATTTACCAAAAACACTAGCATTTTATGTCTTATGTATTATCTTTTAAAACTAAGGTTATAAATATGATCTTAGTTGAAACCTCTAAACTGAGAGAGGGGCTAATTGCTAGCATG